CGGTTGCATAAGATTGTCATCATTTTCATAACATTGTCATCGATTTTATCGATGTTCGTTTCTCTGTCGAACACACGTACAACTGCATATCACACGGGGCGAGCGTAATACATGTTGGAAGCTTACAAGTTTATTTGTGTCCGTGTCTTTGCCGCATTCCGCAGCGGAGCAAGTGCCCGGGACAAAAACGATGACGGATTTTGCGCTGGCGCTTGGGTTTCGGCAGATTCGGCTTTAAAAATGAAAGGATCCGGGACCCCCAAAAAACATCATCGAACAAGCAAAAGTACTGAGAGGGTTTGCACTTTTGAATCAAAATTTGCACGGCTACACGTGCGATTCCACACCCGGCGGGATATACATATACCAAAGAAATCCATGTATATATATATATATCTATATATGTATATAAATATATTATATATGTCCACGATTGGGTCTTTGTTTCTCAGGGGTAGTTAGGTCACAGGCCTAGGGTGAGCATAGTAGCATTCTGTCGTTTCGACGTGTCTTTGATCCTTTTTGTCACTTTTCATTTAGTCTCCCGCTTCCCAACTTCCATTTCTCATCCTTTCTGCTCTTCGTCTGCTGTGGCTACTGTCCCATGCTTATTTGATGGCACCTCTTTGCTGAGCTGTTCAGCACATTGAACGTTCCAAGCCTGGCTATCTGAAAGGAATGAACAGGAACGACTAGGGCCATTTTGCTGTTTTGTCAAGCTAAGGTCTGCCTTCAAGGCACGTGTTAAGATCTTCAAGCCTACGGATCAGCGCAAAAATGACAATTGAAACGAAAGAGTTTGACCGAAGCGCCTGATGGAAGTCTTGCAAGCTCTGCGAAGAACCTCACAGCAACAAATCGCAGCATCACAACACAACCACAAATGAAGATACAATATGAAGGCAAAACCCCAAAGCGCAATCAAAACAGAACCATTGTCATCAAAAGATATGTCACATGTGAGTAACTCTCTGAATGGATTATGTGAAATTTGGACGGAAAAAGTGAGGTGCCAACTCTTCTGCTTGATCCACTCTGTCGGTACCTGAGAATCTCCGGTGCCCGATTTTAGCAACTTTGCTTTCAGAACGTCTTGAATCCTGTTGAATCCTGAAGACCCTCTCAAGACCTGTTTTCAATTGCTGGTGCACTTAGCCTGGACCAAAGTCTACCAGCAGTGACGCCACTTGAGGTCTCCAATCTCCCACCTCGAACCAGGCACGGCCGGCACTCTCTCTCTCTCTCTCTCTCCGCTTCACAAGGTATGGCTTACTGTAATTCTTAGGCACTTCGACTCTTTTCTGCTGGCACTTCGGCCAAAGCAGTAGCTGCTCTTGCGTCTACGCCGCAAGCACTAGCCGAATTGGGTTTATTGCGAGCACCCGTATCATTGCCCATACCATTCATACCATCGTAATGTGTTCTTCTCCCGCAATTTTGCAATGCAATGTGAATGCATGCCAGCCTGAATGATACAGGGTCTAAATGGAAAACATTCAACCATTCGGTTGAAACTTGGATGGTGCAGAACACGCTCCTGCAAGCAGTTGCAAACCACCCTCAAAATGGACAGCATTTTTTGACCTGTTTTGATTTGGCATCCGGCTTGGCTGCCTGCGCTGGTTCCAGCTTGGCTGGCCCAGCTGTAGGCTCTTGCAGCTCCTGCGGCCCCTGCAGTGTAGGCTCTTTTCGCTCCTCGACATCTGCCTGAATGGCAGCCTCATCCTTGTCTGCGGCCTGTCAAACGAAAGGTAGGTCACATGGGTAGGCAAGGGAGTCTCTGCGAACAAAATTGAAAGAAACATAGTGAGAAAGCCGCAAAGCCCGTAGCAAACACCAGACCCCCTTTTCGGCGGACAGGAAACCTCCATTTCAAGTCACGAGTTCTAGGCTTGAACCCAGTCGAGCGAACGCCTGTGCCTTCAGATTTTCACAGAAACACATCGTTTTCGGGACCCCAAATTCGTTCGTGGAAGGACTACCCGAATAGCCTGTGCTGGTTTAGGGGTGTTGCTGCAACTACGGGCGCATGTGCCGTAAAAACGCTAAACATTGATTTGCCGTTTTTCCTGGGGGGGACGCCCATTTCATTCTACCACACGCGCGGTAAAAACGGTGAAGTCGTTATTGTTTTTACCGTTATTCCCGGGAGGGGCCGCCATATGTTTTGAAGCTCACATGCAGTAAAAACGGCTAAAACCCGATTTGCTACAGTTTTTTTTGGCGGGGGGTCGCCCACCTTTTCCTTCACCACCCGCGCGAATTCAACATGTTTATCTTGTTACCTTTCTTCCCGGATCACCCACGCGGTAAATGCGTTAAAGTATCGATCTTTTACATTTTTGATCGGGTAAGCCTCAATTTTTAATACAATACGTGGTGCAATTTGTATCTGCTGTTGTCGTGGTTTCTGGTTGGTGTTTTTAAGGACTCTACCAGGCGCACCAAGCTTCTTTGTTTGAGATCTTCAATGTTTCATGTCCACGGCCAACTTTCCCAAGCAAAATACGTAATTCCAGCCCACCAGCGCACAAGTATATATACAACAAAACAAAGCGCGCCGCTCCTGTTTCTTCTCAAAAGCCTGACAGATCCTAGCCCACGGCACTCGCAACAAAACTGATGGAAGTGGCTGGCTAAAGAACGAAAGGAGCCAAGAAAGCAATCCTTTCACTAGACTATATGAGTCAGAAGGGGAAACACACGGGTTAAAGAAGCACTGCTGCCCTTCTTCAACCACTCATTTGGCATCTACAACAGCGCATAGAAAACAGAACGAACTGATCGAGTTTAGGAGTTGGCCATGAACAATGGCACAGAACGCTTTAGCTGATGCCTGCCCATGGGCCTTTGCAGGTGAAGCATCTCTGGCCTTCCCGGATCGCTTGTCCTTTGCCTTTGCGGCTTTGCATTTGTGCAAACCTCGAGATCTCGAGCTGGGTGATCTTCCTTCATCGCCCAACCAATCACCTCTCACCTCACTACCTCTCACCACCTGCAGATTCGTTGCGCTTAGAACGCCGAGCGGAATAGTAGCTGCCAGATCACAAGCACAACCACAAGCACGGTCACAAACACACAATCACAAGCACACAGCCATAAACACGCAGCCACAAACACACAATCACAAACACAATCTACAAGCACACAGCCACAACAGACAGCCACACAAAGACACATCCACAACACACAGCCACAGTACAGCACACAGCCACAACATATAGCCACAGCACACAGCCACAGCACACAGCCACAGCCCACAACCACAACACACAGCCACAAAGACACATCCACAGC